AGATTGTAGTGTTCGGGGAACAAGGGCTCAGGCAAGGAATTCCACAGTTTGGCAGTCCGCACGATGAAGCTGGACGCGAATCGCTTAGTGCGAGTCTTTGGAACTGCCACCGTGAATCGATGGAATGGTTAGGATGAAAAAAGAGACAAACGAGTAATCTACTTACACTCGCGTTAAAAACAAAACTACATAAAATACTGTAGGCTGGCGGCCCTACCGCGTGCCAACGCAGCGCTCGGTGTAGGCATTTATTTTCAACGACAGGGCGGAGTCACAATACTGTATAGATAATATTACCGTGACAAAATACTCGTCAAGACGAATAATACGAGCCCAAATTCGTTAGCTATGACGTTTTTTAACGGAGTTTCTATGGCCTTCTTCAGCTCCATCATAAGAACAGCTACATGGTACCATATTATTGCATCGTCACCATACTTACATACGTATGCCAAATTTCAGCTAAATCGGATTAGGGATGTCGAAAGTTGAAAAAAATATCGATATATCGATACATCGATATTTTAAAAAATATCAATATCGTAATATAATATAGCTGGTCAGTGCATTCGCCCAGATTGCGAAGGGTGCGGGTTCGAGTCCCGTCTGCTGCCTGGTCCGCGTGGAATTTTTTCTAGTTATATTTTCTTAAGATTTAAACATCAAGCAGTTACATGCTTTAAAAATAATAAAAATTATAACTATAATTGCTATTTCTTCTTTCAAATGTTTAATACTTGTAAAAGTATTCATTTGACATTGTGGGTTTACCTATAATGCGAAGAGATGGCGCTGCCTTGCAGCTTAAGAATAGCTAGAGAGAATTTCGACGCGGTCCGTGAGGGCCGCGGTAGCATAATTGGTCAGTGCATTCGCCCGGATTGCGAAGGGTGCGGGTTCGAGTCCCGTCTGCTGCCTGGTCCGCGTGGAATTTTTTCTAGTTATATTTTCTTAAGATTTAAACATCAAGCAGTTACATGCTTTAAAAATAATAAAAATTATAAATATCAATATCGGCTTCGATATATCGCGAAAAAAACATCGATATATATATATCGGACCAATTTTTCCAAAAATATCGCTCACAAAATATGACACGCGGAATAATAATGGAACGAAAATTATCTCCCTAAAAATAGACCCTATTTTCGAATGATGACATAGACAATACTAAATACCGCACAGATCATAGATATGTTGTATATCATTAATCTGAGATCCAGTTACGATTTTTCCAGATACGAATTTAGTTAGATCGTGATATGCCACTAATAATTAAAAAAATATCGTTTTTGATACGAATTTCGATATTGGTTATTTTGTATCGATGTATCGATATATCGAATCAAAATATATCGGCAAAAAATATCGATATATCGAACAAAAAATATCGATATATCGATACATCGATATATTTTCAACAAGCCTAAATCGGATAATAAGAATTGGTCGAAAAATTGTTTACAAGTTTTGTAGCAACATATTATTATAATGCGATTCAAATAAGAATAGGAAAGCCAATGACCTCCATCTGTCAAATGTCACTTGAAAAGTACAGTTTGCAAAAAAAACACGGAACACTTTTTTAGCACTCGGCTAATTCTAGAATAAAAATCAAATATTTTTAAACAAACAATAACAAATATTGATAATTAATATTGGTTGATATTTTTTTTCATTTATTGAGCTTTGACTATGAATGGTTGATAACTTAAATCGTCAACCAAATGTCACTTTATGTTGCGTTCAGAAACTCGATTTAATACTTTCGTTTACATATAGGATGCATGTTCGTATGAGACCTGCATGATTATTCATAACTGCTACGGCGGTAATGCAGAGATAAGCGGAATTGAAGAGCTAGATCTGATTAATGTTTTTTTGTCACACAGTCTTCATAAAGAAATATTATTAAAAATAGGTTGTTTTTTCTCTCAATCTTAGTAAATTAATTTTATTAAATAATCTGATGTTTTTTCTCACTTAATCTAAGTAAATAAGTTTTATTAAATAAAAACATTTTTTTTCTCACTCTACCTATTTGGTTTGAATTGACAGCTATGACATAAAAATATGGCGCCCAGTCGGTCCTATTCTTAATTGAATCGCATTATACATACGAACGCCGAACGGAGCAAGTTAATTAAAAGCTTGTAATAAGATGTTATCACATCAAAAACCGAAGTTAAAGCGGACGAAGTCATATACGGCCGCTAGTATTAAATATTTATTTTATTGTTATTATTAATTTCAGTAAAATTTGACCTAGCAGTCAGTCTTTCTCTCGAAATTATTGAAATAATTAGCCGTCTTGTATTTCGTAGAGTTACAACTTCACGACAGGTAAAAATGAAATCGATGGCTTTGTTATTTGAAGGCCTTCGTTACTTTTCTTTAAGAAAACAATGGGCATTAATTAAAAAAGTTTTCGAGAAAACGAGCTGTTTCATAAATTCATGTTACCTATCGAGTGCTGAGGAAATGTAAAACCTGTAGTAGGCTTCTTTTAACTTTCGTATCTTGTTCTTGTATTACATTTGCGTTTTCTTCAGTAATAGGGATGATGACTAATTTTTTTTCTTCGTTTAGCAGGTAGATTATCAAAAAGTATTGGACACGTATTTTTTCTTTTTTCACATATTATAAACATTGCAGAGATATATTGATTTGAAAAGTCGCATGACGTCACGTTTGAGTACACTTATAAGTGAAAATTCACTCAAAAGTGACGTCACGAGCCCCTCCTCCCAAACTTTGACGCGCTATTACTTTGTCATTTTTTGGTTGATTACCCAAAGAAAAAATACGTGTCCATTATTTTTTGATAATCTTACTGACGGACTAAATAGAATTTCGTTTACTGTACCCCGTCATCACCCCTATTATCAAATTAATGTGTATCTATGTATTCTGCTCAATGGTAAAAAAGTTCTACCTAATCTTGCTGGGCACAGGCCTTCCCTACGGTTGGAATAGGGAGATTGGGCCATGACCCACTACGCTGGCCTAGTTTGGATTGGCGGGTGCTAGCGACTGCAGTTACAACCGAGACCTGATGACTTTCCGTACCTATAAGCTTTGCTTATTTGGGACAAGGGTGGATCCAGCTTTGGCGCCAGGAGGGGGTCATATGGTCGTGGTATATTAAATATTGAAAGTACTTAAATACAATCCCCCAGGGCTGGGTCCATCTGTACCCAGCCCTGGGGGGGTCATGACCCCCATGACCCCCCCCCCCCCCTTTGGATCCACCCTTGATTTGGGACTACTTAAGCAGTTCTCAATGGAACTATCACTTCAATCTAAAAGATTTATCAACTCGCTACCAAATGTTAAATACATACGATTTTTAGATTGGAAGTAGGAACTTCCAAGGCCGGGGCCATGTCAACGCTTGTGTCTCCATCAATTTGCATAAGGAGAACGAAACGTAACGGGTGAAAGAAGCCGGTGAAAGAAGCCACGAAGAAGACCCGCGCATTCGAATTTTATACGGCGCACAATACGCATACAAATTTTTCTATCATTGAATTATTGTAATTTAAACGTAATTAAACGTCTTATCAAGTATACGAGTACCTCATTAGATAGGAGACCTGACTGTCCCAAACATTTTGGTCCTTCGAGCCGGAATGTTGTTGAAAATGTAATACACTAATATTTTCTAAATTATGGCCGCTGCCTACGGCCATTAAGTTTCTTTGCCAAATTGTAAATTCACAAAAGACAATTCCCGCAATGACTCTTCAACATTTTAGAGGAACTCCGCTTAACATAATAATAATGTTATGATAGCTCGCCGGCAGAATGCTCAGCGGCAAAACAAAGATGTTGGTTAAATTTTTAAAGTAGCAACACTTTTAGCATAATGTCGTTCGCAGCTTTTACGACTTGCGGTTCTATTATTGCGTGGCCTGTTCATCTGATAAGTGCCTAATTTTGCGAGATAATAATTATGTTAAAACGCTTCAGTTAAAACATTAGAGGAGTTAGAAATAAGCATTGCTAAAATTAGATTTGAAGAATTACTGGGAGAATCGAGGTTATTATTATAGCAACACAACACCGCGCTATGGGCTGAGGGATTGTACAGTCAAGATCATTCCAATGAGGACCTACCAATTTCGCCCTTTCTGAAACGCGATTAAGGCGCTGTTTTGCTGGAATCCCTTGACGTAGCGGCGATTGTACAATGTCTGTCGGTGCTCGTAAAATGTGGGCCCTTTTTGGATTACTCATTGTGCGCTATCTCGTTTGATATTCCACCGCACATATACTTATAACTAATGGGAATCTTATTGTATTTTTGTTCTTTGCTATCTAAAAGTTATGCTTTAGCCTCGTGATGGTTTTTTTTTCAATCATCACGAAGAGTCTTTAGCTATCAACTTAAAGATGAATAAAATTGGCTTCTCTTAAAAATTTCATGACACTCGCGCTGTAGATAGTTTCTTCTTAACTGCTGAGGAGCTCGATGACGCAAGGTTAGCGCGATCGTTGAAGTTAAGCAATTTTCGCAGTGGTCGGTCATTGGATGGGTGACCAAAAATTTACTATCTCGAGCTCCTTCGTGCTTCGGAAGGCACGTTAAGCCGTTGGTCCCGGCTGTATCTGCAGTTGTTAGCACCCACCAATCCACACTGGGTCCGCGTGGTGGGTCATGCCCCTATCTCCCTATTCCATCCATAGGGAAGGCCTGTGCCCCAGCAGTGGGGACATTAATAGGCTGATGATGATGATGATGATGAACTGCAGTGGAATAAACCTTTGTGTTTAACCCTTACAGAAATCAGTCATCGTGCCTTAGACAAGTGGCAATATTGGAAATATTGTATCTTCTGTCAGTAGTCCACCGGAACCAGTGAATTTTTTGAAATTATTCTACGAGAAAAAAAATTGGGTACTTCAACAAGGCTATGAAGGTCACTCAAAAGTACTACCAAACTTCTTGTGCTTGTCTGCCACTCTTAACACTCAAAAGAATCAAATACTTTCTGTTTTCACGTCGAACGAACGTCTACAAGGCTATAAAAGGCCAATAAAAGTACCACCAGGCTATGCCTGCGCACCAAAATTTTCACATAGGTATGTTGCATTACATCAATTGTACGAAATACGCACTGCGGCTCGTATTTAGTGAGCATCTCTTCGATGAGCATTCGTATAGTTTGTGCTGGCTCGCGCACCTCGGTCACGCAGTCCACATCGTCGGGGTAAGAGCTATGAAGATTTACAAAGCTATGAAGGTCACATAGGAATACCACCAGGCTATGCTTTCTCGCCAACCTTTTTACATACGGCATTAATACGAAATACTCACTGCGGCTCATGTTCAGTGAGCAACTCCTCGAAGTGCACTCGTATAGTGTGTGCTGGCGGCGCGCGCACCTCGATCACGCAGTCCACACCGTCGGGGTAAAAGCTATGAAGATTTACAAAGCTATGAAGGTCACATAAGAATACCACCAGGCTATGCTTTCTCGCCCACCTGTTTACATACGGCATTAATACGAAATACTCACTGCGGCTCATGTTCAGTGAGCAACTCCTCGAAGTGCACTCGTATAGTGTGTGCAGGCGGCGCGCGCACTTCGGTCACGCAGTCCACGTCGTCGGGGTAGGGGCGAGGAAACCCGGGGCTGGTCACTGTCGCATGCGGGTGCGCATGCGATAATACCACCGTTTCGTTGCACTGGATCTTCGAGGCGGTGTAAGGATCTGGAACAAAAGAAATAAATATATCATCATCATCATCAGTCTAATAATGTCCCCACTGCTGGGGCACAGGCCTTCCCTATGGATGGAATAGGAGATTGGGCCATGACCCACCACGCGGGCCCAGTGCGGACTGGCGGGTGCTAACGACTGCAGATGTAGCCAGGACCAACGGCTTAACGTGCCTTCCGAAGCACGGAGGAGCTCGAGATAGTAAATTTTTGATCACCCATCCAAATTATATATTAAAAAATATAAGTATAACCTTACTGAGATTTACTGAAGACTGTAGCAAGAGACACTGTTATTCTCGAGAGTAAGGTTGCCAGAACTCTACGGCAGGCCTATGACGTAAGCTATAGCAAGTTTCTGATTTGGTTTTTTGTATTAAAATCGCTATCAAATCACAACACTTATGAAATCAGTAACGAATGAGTGTTTTGAGTTCTGTTTAGTTTTATAAGTACTTTAGTGCATTGTGGCTATTTTACTTATGTAAAGAATTTATTTGATAAACTTTGTTCATTTTTTTTATGACAACACCACACAATCTACCGAATATGCGGGAGTTTTTGGCGGGATTTCATCGAGTGCGGTAGGCGTCTTATTTTAATTATTCTTAAATTCGTTCATAGTGGATATTGTGAAATAAAATTGGTGTGGTTTTGTGTAACAACTGTCTGCGTAACTGAAGAATTAGTGGAATCATTAAAATATACGCTATTCCGGTCAAGTGGACGTGAGAATTTTATTGTAGTGTTGACTACCTCACAGAAGCTTATCGAAAAAGCCAACTCCATACATTTCGTGCCAAACACTCCAAGAAACATTAGAATGCGTCACACCGACATTCTAATGTAAAAACAAAAAGAAGATTAATTTAATTAAAGACCAGGCTGTATGGGCATTGTTCCCTTTGCCTTCCCTAAAACGGGAGAACTTCAACAAAAAAAAATACTGAATATGCATTAAGTACACATTTTCGCCAAAAACGATTATTAAGTAACAATTAGAAAACAGAGGTGGTAATTGAGCCCATATCATAGACTGAACACAAAAAAAAACTGCTAAACTGAGGTAATATGATACAAGGGCGGATCTAGCTTTGGCGCCAGGGGGGGCTCATATAGTCATGGTCAAGTCACAGTGGTTACAGATGGACCCAGCCCGGGGGGGGGGGGGGTCATGATCATATATGCGGCACTGACCAATAAGAGAACAAGATATGCGGCATAAAATGACCATAAACAACTGAAGTTTTTGATTGCGATAATAAAATTCAACTACTATCTCAGAAATGAAACAATGATTCTCAAGATAATTTAAGATGATATTCCAACACGTAACGTTCGTTAACACGCCTCGAAGTCCAATTCACAATCTACCGACCAGCGAGTAACTGTCAATGTCAATGTTGCCAGTACAAGAAATAACTTGATACTTATAACTGATATTGTAACTGGTATAATCGACACTGTTGACAAATACTCGTTACGATTCGATAGGTATTAATAAGGTTATCTTACACGTTGACTTAGAAGTTTTATTTTTCACCTTATCTTATTACCTCCATGCGTGCCTTAGAAAAAGGGTCTTTACAATCCGGCAGACAAAAAAGAATTTCCGCTTGTTAATCAATCTAAATTAATGTGGCAACTCCACCGTTAATATTGCGGAATCCGCTTTGTTTTCGGCAAACCGAAGTAGGTGGCAAATAAAACACTCATTAATTCATTATTGTACAATGAATGTTTTGTATTCAACCGAGTAGGTACCTATTCCATTATTATTGACAATTACTATTCGGATATACCGACCGAATCTGCACGCTTCGCCGCTCGTCAAAGCGAATCTGAATGAATCATATTAATATTATTTGAAGTGAAAACTTCTTTAGCGGCGTTGTACACTTTTTTGTATGGGTAAAAAATATTAAACTCGCGTCATGACACGTGGGCTGATCGCTTCGCAGGCCACGTGACCTGATCGTAAGACGAAAACAATAAAATTGGAAAGGTTGTAGACTTTCAATATATTGGACGAAACATAGTAATATTTTATTTTATCGTATTATAATAATGTCTCTATCTAGGACGTCTAGGTAGCAGCTTTATTGCGAAGAAAATAGAGAGAGAGAGAGAGACAAACGAGCTGACAGTGCACCTGATGGAAAGTTGTCACTACCGCCCATGGACACTTGCAGCACCATGAGTTACCGGCTGTGAAGAAAAATGGTTACCTGCCTTTTGATAAATCTGTTAAATCGTAGCGGTTTTCCTTAAAAAGAGCTTAATAGTTATTTATGCAACTGTTGTAGAGTCTGTGCGGAAAGAGAATGGGCGTGGCGAAAAACGGAACTGACATTAAGATTTTTATTTGGCATTTTTTTTTTAATTTATTTATCAAATATAATTTTAAACTATTAACTATACTATATAATTTCGCCAAACTGATTAACAGTTTATTGGCGAAAAATGTACTCAAACCCAGCAATTTGTAAAACGTCAAAGTTTTGTATTGATACGGATTTGTTTGTTGTTATGATTTCTTGCGGTTTTTGTATTTAACCATGTCTAAAAGAGGTAAAACCTTACAAATACGGTAGAAAAGCACTACAGCGCCCTCCAATCTATAACCCATTCTCTTTCCGCACAGACTATTAAAACACGAATGTGTTTTTATATAATGTATGATGGTGATAATACTCGTAGTATCACATGAGTGATTTAGTACCTTACTATAACAGTTGCATACAAGACTTTTTCTACACCTTTGATATGAATCCTCTATAAAATAGGGATGCGCCGATCCGATCCGATCCTTGGAAAGATCGGATCGGCAGGCATACGATCCGGTGATTTTCGGATCGGATCGAGGCCAAACGATTTTTTGCCGGATCGTTACAAAACTTGAAAGATCGGATCGCTTGGATCGTATGAATTAAAACGCGGTTTCTTTACAATAAATTGAGTAGGTATTTACTAAGGTTTCTGTTACGAACTTTATCTTTGGTTACATTTTAACTTGGCGGCATTCTTTGTAGGTGGATCCATTAATCATATACATTCTATTATTATAAACAAAAGTTGTGGGTAAATTTATATATATACCACTAAATCTATTTCTTGCTAAAACCACATAAGTCACCTATTTCTTGCAAAAACAACGTAAGTCAAGAATAAGTTTTCATATTTTTTTCATTATTATTATTTATGAACAGTAAATGTTCTTGGATATTTGAATTTTTTACAACTCAAATACTAAAGTAAGCGTAAAAAAGTTCTATTTAACTCGATTGTTTGAACATGAACCAGTTTTTATTAGTTCCTGAAAAACTCTAATAGTGTGACTTAAGAGGTTTTTGAAATGACTGATTCAATTGTACTTTAACTACTTGTAGTTGGGCGCATTTCTTCGAAGTCTAAATTTTTCATAAATAACTAGTAGGTAAACATTTTTTAAGTTCTCTGTGTACCTAAATTACTATTTCACACTGAGTTTCTTTCAAAACTAAGTACTTGTTTATTTATAAGTTTTACATAGAGCAATCTTGTTTGTTCATAAGTTTTACATACTTTGAAGGGTTTCCCAAATAAAAATCGAAAATCATATTCAGGTTTCTTGCATCATTTTTCATTTTATGTTACTGTTTAGGATCTACAACGATTTAAAGTTGTATATCAACCACTTGTGCTTTTAATTTCAATCTTACGTTTGTATGGCACTTTGTTCCTCTTTCACGCAAAAAACCACTGAATAGATTTTAGTGAAACTATACAATAATACATCGGGACCTATTAAGTAGGTATTGGAAATCTGATCTGATTTGATCCATTCTGGAATGGGTCCCGACTGTTAAAGTAGCTTTGTTCCTTACTTTACAGAATTAAAGAATAAGTACTGGACTGGTCTTTTTCTATTTAGTTTTTATTAAGAGTGATTTATTTTTAAGCAGTCGATTTTTTACATTTTTTAAATATACCCCTTTTTTATGCATTTTTGTTAGAGTCTACTTATTTTATACTTCAATGGTTTAACATCAACTAACAGGACTTGACTGAGCTTTAATTTGAATTATAACTTTGTTAAAAATAAATAAATAAATAATAATTTTGGTGAAAGTAGCCCTAAATTGAAGATCGAGCAAACCAATGTTATTTGTACTAGGTGCCAAACGGACGCGAAGGCAGGTAACTTTATTACACAGGGAATATTCTAGTTGGCTGCTGGAAGCCGATGCTTTGCCAGAATCCATAAACCTGTACCTGCAAACCTATGTTTAAGTCGAGCGAAGCCTTTTATATGTAGGTATACCTAATATTTTATGGACAGACAGATAAGTAAGATTATAAATTTAATGAAAATTTTACTTGGAAAATTTCCTCTCAACCTTCTTGATTTGTGCTAGCACCTTTTTTATTCGGAAAAAGTAGTCCTGGTCTTACAGGCTTAGATTAAAACAAAAAGGGTTGATACGGTACTAGCTTCTCAAAAGTGATCCGCATGAATTGTGGTCCACGACCCTAATCGCTTTAGTCACAACTTGACATGCAAACGGCGTACATGTGAACGCCCAAAAGAAATATTGCTAATATTTTGTGTTTATATGATAAAACAATGCCTAAGTGTGTTTTTAAAAAGTGCTCAAATTGCTCAAGAACTAAAAATAAAACCCACGGCATCAGTTTTCATTCGTAAGTAATATAAACTATATTTTTTCATAAAAATTGCTGTTTGTTTTGAATCTTATTCGGTAGTGACGTCGAGTACTGGTCGCGTGATTGGTCGGTAGAGCAGTGACGCGGATCTCGCCGTCTTGTTCGCGCTGCCGTTGAAACTTAACGTGCTGTTTCGTTCGGGTCGGTAATGCAGTGACGCGGATCTCGCCGTCTCGTTCGCGCTGCCGTTGAAACTTAACGTGCTGTTTCGTT